CCAAGGCCATATATTTGGTCCAGAGCTCTGCTTTTCACATACTCTTTCATCCCTAAGTGCAGAGTACAAATAGTGATGGCCCTATGACACCCGAGGCTCTGACACAGCTCATAAAGCAAGTATTTCGAACCACTGTGCCGAGGCATGTTTTGGTCACGACTAGTGACGTTTGAATCACTTAAGTGACGTCCGAAGCAGTTGGGTTCATCGGACGTCAGGTGAATCAGCTGATTGGTTCGGTTTGTCATGTGAATCACTTTAAATGAGTGTGTTCAGAGATAGGATATCCCTATTTAGTGGCATTCATTTGAATCTGTCTTTGCAGAGTAGGTTGTTAGTTGCTTTGAGAGTTAGTAGTGTTGTAGCAGATAGTGTATTTAGTGGAGAATCACTGTAGATAGAGAGATAGATCAATAGATAGTAAGTTAAGAGGGAAAAAAAAGTAGTTATAGTTAAACACTAGATATAGTTACATAGATAGTCCTAAATAACGTTAGATATAAACCTTTTGTGTCTAAAAACTGTGGATATACTGTTATTTCTCAATAAAAACTCAAACAGTTACACACCCACTGCCCTGTTCTTCAAGCACAACCTCTTTACCCACATACCCATGAACCTCTTTACCAATGAACCCCAAAACAAACTTTGCAGAAGTCTATACTATAATCTGTATTTGCACCAGTCCCGTGTGAAAATGACTGATCTGTCTGAATCTGTAGACCACATCTCATGAATGTAGCAGCACCATTTAAATGTTTTCAAAACACAAAATATAAGTGAGGAGCATATAGGGTTACACTCAGACGTGCCACATAAGAAACATGGTCTTCAACATATGTCCACGTTTATTTTATATTTTATTGTGTCAGCTTGAAACCATACAACCATGTAGTCGAACAGGAATGTGCATGGTGAATCAAATCCCAATCCATGAACCAATAAACGACACATCTTGACTGCACTTCAATTTCTTGACCACTAGACATCCTACTCGATCACTGTGTCATTGAAGCCTCAGTAATGAACCATTTGTGTGAATACTGTGTTGAAGCTTCAACAAAGCCTCATCAGCCATCACCAAGTACAAATGCAAAAATTATAAAACTCACAGAAAAAAGGATGGTCCCCTCCAGTCCACAAACAGAAAACCCAGCTTACAAAAAACAACAGCTTTAAATACTGCCTGGCAAAACCATCTCGTAAATACCTAGGGTGAAATCAAAGACACAATAAAAACTATTTTAAAGTGTTGGTGACATTAACATTTCCATTAAGGCTTTAAAATGTACTGCAACTACTTAGGATAGAGTTCATTTTATTAGGGCAGACAGATAAACATACAAAAAGAAAGCTCCATTGTTTCTCCTTCCCAAGGTCCCACCACGTGGTACAGTCCAAATTGCCTACACCTGGTGGAACAAGAGGTGTTCATGGGTGCTCGTTCATGAGAGCGCCATCCTTGAGAAGGAAATGGACCTTGAAGAAAACGATTAGAAATAAGAACCAGCCAATAAACATGTACCAAGTAAAAACCTACTAAATAAAGCCAAAGTATGAATAGACTAAAGTGGATCCTAAGTTTAGATGATATATACATACTCTATAACCAACACAAAGTATTAACTAAGAAAAAACACTGCGACCTGATTAGAGAGGCAGTGAGTTAAATTCCCTCACCAATACTCTCTTTAAAAAGTGGTAAATTATTAGTTACATGTATTACTTTAACTCAATATTATTATACACAGAGCTGCTCCACACGTCACTGAGAAGTGGCATTCTTACCTTTTTCTTGTAAGTCAGATTACATGTTGCTACCTGTGAGTGGACATTCATGTGTTCATCTGTGCTTTGAACTGGATAAAATGTCAAGGTGAATCAGCAGGGAGGTGATGTCGGAACAGGCAGGATTGATGTGCTCACAGCAGACAGCCACAGATCCAACGGCAGCTAGTCTAAATTGATCTCCTGGGTTTATTCAGTGTGGAGTATACCTGCAATATACTGCCCTTTACAAGTCTCTGCTGCACAGGAGGCCACAGCAGAGAGGTCACTGCAGTAGCTTTATTCATCCGTGAATGCACACATGAACAGTAGCCTACACAAACACGGCACGCACTGTTGCTGAGTAGACCTGTGCAAAAGGCTAAATTAGGAACAAAGCTGTGATACTGGGGTGTTACTGGAGCAGATTCGTTGAATGCTGTGCATCAGACAAACCAGCTGTGTGTCTAGACGCTGTTACTTAGCACTAAAACAGTACAGATGTAGCACACTTTTCCATTGTTATGTTTAGAAAAATACACAGCACCTCTTCTTTTTCTGTCTCTTTTACCAGATGTTCACAGTATCTAGCATAAAACTAAAATAAAAGTGTTTGCTGTGTGTAGACACATGGGTCAGAGAGTATACCACAAAAGCATGTACAGCACTTGGACTAAGACTGAAATGTTGTGGTATTTTAAAAAAAACATTGGCGCTAACACTGTTTTAAGAGGAATGGCAACTAGGGACTTAATTTTATTTCTCAGTTATTCATTGTGGAAATGAAAAAACAAAGGCTTGTTTGGAAGCTTTCGCTGCAGCACTTTCTAGACTTGTGATTCTATTATTTGTTGGCACTAAAATTCAATAACTGATGCTAGTTCAGGACTTTAAATCTGTTTCCATACACCCCTGAGGCTCAGTGTCATTCAATTCAGTTCAGGGTTGAAGTGCAAAAAAAAAAAAGCCTCCTGTTTTAGAAAGTCTTGTGCTGTCAAGAGACAGAGACGTGGCACATCTGTTATATATTAACAGCACACGTTTGATTAACTGGTGGGTATCGAGACAGATAAATATACTGTAGCTCAAGTGAAAAAAGTTAAAAATGCACCTTGCCAGATATACAGTTCACAAATACAGTATGTAGCCCTGCGATGGATTGGCGACCTGTCCAGGGTGTACCCCGCCTTCGCCCGATTGCCGGCCGGGATTGGCTCCGGCCCCACCCGTGACCCCGTTCAGGGACTAAGCGGTAGAAAATGGATGAATGAATGAATGAATGAAATACAGTATGTTGTTCATTCGCTCAACTCATCCAATCACCATGGTGCTAAATAAAAAATGATAAAAATGAAAATCACCTAATCCAACAAAAACGTACAGTATGGCATCAGAATTCTTTGGTTAGTTGCTTATCTACACACACATCTACGCTCAAATAACAGAAATGTTTAATTTCTCTATAAATTGTACTATTGGTGTAGAGTTTTGAATTTAATTGGAATAACTGCTTATTTTTTATCTCTAACTTTCTTTCTGAGTTTTGTTTGCTTGTTTCCTATCTCTGTTCATATGTCATGTGCCTTAAATTGTCACAATCTCTTCTTTTGTTATGTCACTTTGCAAAAAAAAAATTCTTTGGTAGATGCTATGATCAAATAATCTTCAGGATTTACTAATAGCCGTATTCACTTTGAAGAGCCCACAGCATGATTTTATCTTCATGACTACAATGTTACAATGGTAAATTCTCATCTTGGTTATGACCTAAAGCTCAAAAAATAAGGTGTATGTATGTTCTAGTATACCTGCCGACGCAACTCAATTTATACATACCTTGCAAACTCTTGCTGGTGAGACATTTTTTTCTAACAAATATTACATGATAGTTTAAGGATTTCATTGAATGGTCATCATGTGGGCTTGCCTGACATCCATTGGTGCCATAGTAATACCAGGATTTTTTTTTTTTTATGCATATAGTTTACCTCCTGCTGTCTGCACTGTGACCAGAGGATATGAAGACAAATACAGGACCTAAAGTTACTGCATGTCTGGGAATGTTCCTGTACAGGGACTCCCTGTTTTATCTGCCCAGGTCTAACATGGCGTGAATATAGCAGCTGGAAACCTACAGGCAGCAGGCCAGTGAAGCACCTTTGGGCGGTGAATGATCAGCTCATCAACAATAGATTCCTCCAGAGCACAATGTTTTGACTGCTTGAGGCCTGTGTGTCTGTTGGATGTTTTGTGGGTTGGCGAGAGGATTATAATGATCCATCATGATGTTATTGTCGGTGCAATGCTACTTGTTGGAATCAAGTTCACTGCTTTGGGAATATATGTGGTAGGATTTGAGGTATTGTCATTGTTGAAATGTATCTTATTTGTCAATGTTTTTTGTTTGTGTTTTCCTGTGGTTTTATCGTTCTGAAATAATTACTAACTATTTGGAGTAATGAGGAGTGCAAAGCTAATCTAGAGGTACCCAAGATTAAACATTACATGAGCATACCATGGGGACTTTAAGCTTGATATTGAATGTATATCGCCCCCACCAAAAAAAAAAATTATAGTCTAGAAGTAGCATTAACATCAAATAGATCTATTTGTGACCTAAATAAACATCAGTGTTCCGCAATTGCATAATCTTATATTTAGAATATATGCTTTAAAAAACCCTAAATATTACAATAAATACCAATTTAAGATATATCAGTTAAATTTGTTTCCAGCAGTGACGGTGCCACTGATCCCTGATGGTATTAAGAGATTAAAAGGCTCCCCATCTTCTCCGTGTTGTTGACAAGCATTACGACTCATTAGAGCTATTAGCATTAAGCTGCCTCATCAATAAGCACTTGGCTGATCAATCTGATGTGGCCCAGGGGACCCACCCATAGGCCCCTGCCTGCTCCAAGATGGGCAACCTTGATCTGTCGGTCACCACACACACACACACGCACACACACACGCGCACACTCACCTGTCCTGATGTTTGCCTGACAGGGAGGATTCTCTGCAAGCCTGTGTTCGTTAGTTCTTTGTTGCTTCTGTTGTAAGTGTTGTGTCAGTGTAACCACTTCTGCTCGTCAGAGTGTTAGTGTTTGTCAGTGCTCTCTTGTTTGTCACTCTGTTTTGTGTTCACTTGATCATTGAGGCCTTGTATGTGTATGTGTGTGTGTGTGTGTGTGTGTATGTGAGGAAAAGCAAGGAGTCTCTCAAAGTTAGTGTTTTTGCTTTAACCGTCAACTTTAGTATTGTCATGTACAGTATTTCCATTTATGTATGCCATGTAGGTGTCGCCGTGTGTGTGTGTGTGAGACTGTGTAAGTGTCGACTATGGCAGTGTCCCTGTCAGTCAGCGTGAGACTATGCAATGTCAATGTATGACAGCCAGGCGTAGTCTGATGTGACAGTGTGCCACAGTGAATGACAATGTCTCAACTTAGAAACCAGCGTGTCTTCTTATGAGAGGGAGACTGTAAGAGACATACAACAAAAAGTCAGGAAAAAGGGACAGAAGTTGGGAGGGTGCTACAGTTCATCATGAAGGGCCTCTCCCTCTGCGTGGTCCAGAGCTCCCATCAGCAGCAGCGCTCCAGTCACGTTGTCTCTAACAAAGATAAGGAAGGGGTGATCTGCGTAAAACAGCTTGGGCTTTTCTATGTTCTCCTCCTCTAGATCTGCATCTCCTTTCCCAGCTTGAGCAGCCAGCTCCAGGGAAGCCCAGTGGAGGACACCACCCAGATGAAGCTTCCCTTTGCTCTTGTCTGACACACCGGAGAAATCGGCCACCTTCTGGTCCCATGCATCGGTCAGGCCCAGAGCAGACAACTGTTTCTGCAATAGGGACAAAAAAACAAAACACAAAGCCACGGAATTTATGGACTGCTTTGAATTAAATTGTTCCAATGCTTGAGGGCATCCTCAGTAGAGACACCCTACAAGTGTATTCAAACAAGCAGCTGCCAGGACACTGATCAATTATGCACCCAAAGAGACCAAACAACTAGTGGAAGGGAAGGCACCTTTTAAAATTTCATGATGCTTTGACATCACTCAGAAGTGGGAGACGTGCATTGCCCTTCCCAAACCTTAACGTAAACATACCCTTGTAAACAGTCAATCATGAACTTTTTTGAAGGAGTTTTTCACCATATTTATTTACTTTCCATCTCAAAAATCTGAGATGGGAATGATGCTGACAGCTGCCCTTGTTGTGAGCTGGCAGGACAAAGTGGGCGACAGGCAGAGAAGCGACGGAAGAAGGAGGAAGCAGAGGATGAATAATTTAAGAGTGATGCTCCGTGACCTCAGCACCTCCTTTGTTTTGCCTCTGATATGAATTCCACAGAAAGTCGTTGTCATGACAGGTAGTTTATCCTCCCATGGCAGAGGGCCACTCACAGTGACAAGCTTCTCCAGGGGCCAGATGAGAGCATGTGTGGGAGTGAGTGTGTGGACTCGTGTGCGGATGTGGAGAAGGCCACAGCTAGAAGAAAAGTTGCAGAGACAGATGAGTGGGTGGCCATATTGTTTTCTACTGTAGCATTGTTTAAACTTTAGCTGATTAAACTTTTATATCTTTTACTGGCAGATGAGAACCCTGGAACATTTGAATGCTTTGTCTATGTAAATGCTCTGTGGGTGCTGCCTTACTGACTGTGGCATTCCTTTCAAAACCACATTGTTATAGCTCAGTATAATTCTGCTTAGTTCTTAAAACCACATATAATGGACTAAAAATGAAAGTCTAAGGAATCTAGTTTAAAGCATGTGACACTCCCATTCTAGTGTTTTGATGCCAAGCTCCTGCTCCACACAGAGACCCAACACCACCTCCTGTTCTAATGCACTTCTGTTGTCCTCATGCATTATTTCTCCACTCTTCCTCTCTTCTTCCATTCACTAACACTACATCACTGTCTTCCTCTGCTGCTCTGCCACTTGTCTGGCACCCTCATCTTTCATCTGCCCGGTGCGCCTCTACGCTATCCTACTGTCTCTCTATTTCTGCTCCTAACTCAATCTTTTCCTGCCGTCCTAAACCTTCTTCTTTCTTTGACAGACCTGTATGCATCACTCTCTCAAACTCTTAATCTCTATCGGCGATCATTTTGAAGTTTGTCACTCCTTATCTAACGAGGAAAGAGAGACAGACCTAAGACTCATCAAATTGTAGAAGACAAATGTGTGCACAAGGAAAAGCAGCTGTTTGTCTCTGTCTGTGCCACTCATCTCCATCCTTCATCATTCTGTTGGCCTGTTGGGTTGCAGGTATATTCACAAAGCATATAAATAGCAGCGACCAACCCCAACATGACCTAGCTCTCCTCTGTAGCTCTTACTCTGCTTGTCAGGGCAAAAACACTTGGTTAATTTCTTTTAAGCTATCAAGTATTTAAAGATTAAGGGGCCCTGTAGAAGCACACTGGGAAACAGGCCATGGGTGTCAGAGGTGCCTACAGAGGCCTTGTGCACCGCAGAGGTGTGGCACTGCATTATATGGGAAGAGAGACCTCTGGGAGGTGCTCTTTGGCTGCCCTTTCTCTCTGAGGCACCGCATGAATCTTAGATGGAACAGCACTGGGCAGATTGCTGATGCTTCAGCAGCAGCATCAACGAGCTATCTGTCTGCGAGTGAGACCCACAGGCATTGTCAGCTGGTGGTTTCCTCTGCATGTGTGTATGTGCAGTGCTTACTTGGCCTACAGCAGTGCAGTCTAACCAAGCCTGAGGTAGCCTGGAATCAACCCTCAGGCGTGCAGCAGTCTGCATCACATCATTTCAACCCAATGGTTGAGCCCACTAAGTAGCTTGTTGGGTGTACCTGTGGGGGGGGGTTTATGGGGAAAGGTGTGGCAGTCAGGGCGTGTTACAGCTCTGTCTGTGAGGAGCCACCTCAGCTATGTTAGAGAGAAGCAGTCTTAATAATGGATAATGGAAAGAAAAGCTGCCTTTAAGATTATTTAATCCTAGGAAAGAATACACACCACATCTATTTCCACCAACAATAAGAGATGTTTTGTCATCACAGTCAAAATGCAGCACATACTGGATAAGTGAGTAAAGAGGACAAACAGTAAATTATGATTTAAGCCATATTATCCTGCAACCTCTATAAAGCCTTGCTTGGTTGTGTGTAACTATTTTTTATAGTTTTTTTTTTCCCTTTAGTGATGTTTTATGTATGCGAATTGCATATTGCTTTCATTGTTTTAGGAACTGCAGCGGAGCCAAGACAAAGCTCCCCAAGGGTATAATGAAGTATATTCTTTTCTCGTCTACCGCACAAGAACTGAGATTGTACTAAAACTGCACGCCACAGAGGAAAACCACCAGAAACTGAAGGCGACCACTAAATTTGTATGAGACTGTGGATGGAGACACAAGTACTTTTATATCCTGAATTCCCACAATCATTCAGAGTGAGCTGGAGGTGACTGGCTCTAGTCAGAATGCTGTGGATAGGCAAACCTGATGAACTGGATTATATAGTAACTCTCATGGTACATTTCAATAGTTTACTTAGAGCTGCAAATACAGATTATTATCATTATTTATTAATCCAATGATTATTTTAATAGAAAGTCACTTTCGGCTTTTCTCGTTTTTTAGGGGTCGCCACAGCGAATCGTCACACTGACGACTCGCATGTTGACATTTGGCATGTGTTTTATGCTGGATGCCCTTGCTGACGCAACCCTGATTAAAACCCAGGGCGCAGCAGCAAGAGCGCTGCGCCTTAACCACTAGCCTACCAGATAATTTATATAAAGCTATTAGTTTAGACTTTAAAAGGTTATAAAACAGTGAAAAACCCCCGTCAGTCTCCCAAAGCCTGAGATGATACCTTCAAATCTGCTGTTTTCTGAGAACAAAGTCCAAATATATTCAGAATTCAGTCATATAAAAAAAATGAATAAATAAAAACTAACAACTGAGAAGCTGGCAGTGAAGACAGTTTGGCATTTTTTCTTAACAATGATTTCAGTGATTAATCAATTATCAAAATAGTTGCATATTAATTTCTTTGTTGAAATAGCTAAGTGATTAATTGAAACATTATTTTAGCTCTTATTTTACAGTTACTCCACTTTTTTAGATAAAAAAACAACTCCCCCAACTATATGGTGCCAACGGTCCAAATTCCAGTGGTAACTACCAAATGTGTTTAAAGGAGTAATTTACACTTTATATTTTATATAGACATATATGTACAGCCGTCCCTGGTAGGCTAGTGGTTAAGGTGCAGCGCTCTTGCCACTGCGGCCCAGGTTTGAATCAGGGTTGCGTCAAGAAGGGCATCCGGCATAAAACAGGTGCCAAATGTCAACATGCGAGTCATCAGTGTGACGATTCGCTGTGGTGACGCCTAAACGGGAAAAGCCAAAAGTGACTTTCATATAGATATATATGTACAGGTCTTTATTTAAAAGTACTTCACTCTTATTTGTTATCTCTTTTCCTAATACACATTCCTTTGCTTGTTGATATGTATGTACACATTGAGAGTGGCTGTACCAGAGTCAAATTCCTCATGTGTCCAACACACCTGGCCAATAAAGCTGATTCTGATTCTGACTTGTTAGTCGGCTAACGCTAATGTGGCTCAATATGTCGCAACCAGTCATCCGTAGTTTAGCTTGTCGCTGGGAAACAGGATGTGATGCGAGGGGCAAGGAGCAGTTAGGAGTAGTTTCTGGTGTCAGTTTGAGTCTCACCAGACTCTTTAGGGGCTGAAAAGAAATTAGGCAGAACAGCTTTAAAACTTTAAAATAATCTTAATGAGAACAAGGGACATCCTTAAAAATACTGCTCAACTACTTCAATTACAATGTACCTAGCAAATGTTTCATGAAGAAAATCTATTCAGCTCATATGTTAGGCTACACACAGTGCATTTTGGTGAGAAACACTCAATGAAAACTCACTGTACATGTAAATGGCACATACTATCTCATTTTATATTCTGACTGTAAACAACAGCTGGCCCCACTTTGTAATAAATTTGGCCCAGCTTGATCCAGTTACAGCTGTTGTGATGCGCATATCACGACTGTCACAGCCCCACCATCTGTACAAGACTATGGGTTGCACCTCCTGTTCCTTCTGGCTCACCAGTAACATCCACCAAATGATTCTTTTAGGCCATTGCCACATTAGACAACAAGAGCACTCAGAGATTGCATGTACCTCCACCAAGGCCCAACATTTGCTCATGCAAATACTGTAGATAGATACTTTACTAATCCTGTGGGAAATTTAGGTATCCAGTACCAAAAACACAGCACCCAAAGTAAAGATATGTAAGAATAAAAGGAAGGAGGAAAAAATCTAACTACTTTTAGGGATGGTCCCCATCAATGTCTGTAACAAGTATGTTGATGATCCATCCAGCCGTTTGTCTGTTATCATGCAAACAAACACACGGTACCAAAAACATAACCTCCTCAGCAGAGGTAAATACAGATATGTTCTGCCTAATTCAATACTGTCCTTAGCACCCTGCGTGGGCACCAGCTATGCAATATGCAGCACTGGCATCATCATAGCTCCATTTCACAGACGCGTTCAATGCAAGCTTTTAAAAAGGCTCCTTTTTCTCTTTCACCATCAGCTCTCTTGAGGCTTCAAAGCCTCTCCATCTATTTATTGAGTCTCATCAGCAATACTCCTATTTGTATCTTATTTACATGGACTTTTTCTTTTGCACAGTCAATGCACTTTCTGTATCTCATTCACACACTCTCATACACTGTACACATGAACCGTTTTTTATTCCACAAGGCCATTTTAGCACAAAAGAAGCCTTAGCTGTCAGTGAGATATTTAACTAATGGCCATGAAACACATCTGATTAATTCATATAATGCAGGGCTGTGCTAACTGTTAAAACAGCTGCCCCTCGACACTGTGTACTGCAAAGTGTGCTCTTGTAAATATTTGATGACCTTTTGACCTCATTAGACATGACTGAGTGAGCTCTGCAGTGCACACTCATACGTCTTAGTCACTGACTGGAGATGCAGTCAGAGTGGGGCTTGAGCTCAGTCATTAGTGTGTATGTGCCTGTGGCCTGGTCAGCACTGAATCAGAAACAGAGGGAGAGAGCGATGAGGGTGGTTTAGTCGGTGACCTCTGAGCCTGGCTTGTTAAGAGGGTCCTCCGTCTCTGCTCTGACACAGTCTGCCCTTCACCAGAGGAGAATACCACAAACAGGGAGATGGAAAGGAAGAAAAAGGCAGATTTCTGCAGCTATTTATGGTTTTCTGTGACTCTATCCACTTGGTCCCCAAGCAATCATTGGTATACCCTCACCACCTCTCCTGCTCACTGGCCCCCTGAATGTCACTCCTATTTAGGTCAGCAGAGCCAAGGTGTGGCTGCTGAGTGATGGGGCATTAGAGTCACATGCGAGACCTCCAAAAAAGGAATTAGATCCTCGCTATGACAGAGACGACAGAGGTGAGGGAAGGAAGGAGTGCATTGGGATGTGGCAAAGAGATGCAGATTTAGTTTTTTATCATTTGTCTCACGCAGAGGACACACACACACACACACACACACACACACACACACACACTACTCTGATCTTCTGTTTGTCCAAAAGCTGCCCACTCAGGAGTCCGTGGCCACTCTGGGCACTGACAGATAGAGTGGTAAACAGTATTAAAGCACAGCGATAGGCAATTATTTGTCTGACCCAAGTGGAAAAATTATGGTCGGAGACGACAGGGCAGGCTGTCACTGGCCAGCGTGGCTGAACAGACAAAATGAGACTATAGAGAGGGTTGAGGGTTTTTGCTTCAGCTCTTTCACAGTGATTCTTCAACTGCACTGCTTCTTCCTGACAGAGCAAACAGACTCATGACAAGACAGTGAAAACAGAAGCCAAACACATTCAAGTGCTATTCGGGTACATAATGATATCATTGTATAGGATCTTCTACTTATTTATGAGTACTTGTTTTTTTTTCTTCTTCTATCTAGTAGACCTTCTTGCAGAGACAGAGGATTTGTGCAACAGTAGGTTATCTGCTTTTTCCCAAAGTCAGACCCGTGTCAAAAGGAATCATTTCAAGTCTTAGTTCTAGATCACAGGCTCCTCCCCAGAGTGTTCTGACAATGTTAATGTCGAAAGCTTGTTCTTCAGGGCATGGCTAGCAGAATAACATGGCAGCACAACTCTACAGAGATGTTTGTCAAACTAGAAAGAGGGAAAAGTGGATTACATCAGCCCATGATGAGGTTACAGTACAATGTACAACTAAAGAAGATGTGGTAATAGGTTCCAGTCAGTGCAACCTGCCCTGGGGAAATGGGTTTTACTGGCATGCCCTCTGCCCTCAGCTCAGAAAACCTCTTTCTCTTTCTTTTATGACATCGTTCTCACTAACCCACAACTGCTGTACCATCTCTTTGACTCTAAACATGTGTTCATACTCAATGCAAAATTTTAGAGGTGGAGTGAGAATACAAAGTCAGTGGAGATTCTGTTCTAAAGTGAGGTTAAGATGAATCCATAAAAGTTGAAAATGTTACAAATTGAGTAAAAAATGTGTGCTGAAAGATTTACTTAATCATACAAAGGCAAAATGAAACCGAAGGGAAAATTTAGGAGTTGAAATGATTGTCGGAGTTTCTAGTGAGTTCTGAGAGCAGTCTGAGCTGTCACCTTTACATCCATAGACACAGACAACAACACTGCTAACTATTTACTACTACTGTAGCTTAACAGTTGGTCTGTCTGTACAGTCAACACACTAGACTATTTAGGGTGAACAACCACATACAGCAAAAGCAGTCCAGCTATCATCATAATGCAAAAATGAAAATTTGCTGAATTCATTTTAAAGTCTGTCTCTTACTGGTGAGTAACAGAGAGTGGTAGCGTTATCCCGAGCAGTGCTGTGGTGATCTAAGAATATTTGAAATGATTAGTGTTGCCTTAAATGTCTTTCTTTACTGGGTTCTGCTCCCGACAATATATTTTATTCCAAGACAGCCAGGCTCTTCAGTCTGAGCATGTTGCTTTTGTATGCAAGTGAACAAGTTAACACAATCTCTTCTCCTTTTGCTTTCTTATTAGCAAAGAGCAGGGTACAAAATATTCATGTAGCAGCTTCCCATTTATAGCTGGCACTGCCAGTTTAAATGGCAAACATCGCCCTTGGAAGGTAATATTAGATGTTGCCAATTTACAAGAACTCCATAAGTAACTTTATGACGGACCAAAATTAAACTCGACAGTTGCTAGGTTTGTGTCTTCTCTGCAAGCCACTGTATGTACTCTGCCAAAGGTCACTTGTGAGGAAAGAACCTCCACTCAAAAACACCAATACACAGTGTTCTGTAGTTCCAACAACACAAAATGAAAGAATAGCTTTAAACCAGGACCACCAGCATATGGATCATGCATCTTGTAAAAGAAGGTGGCTAAATTTAGTAGACTACACCTTTTATTTCAATGTGTCAGATACTAAAACTTGACCATGATACCCCTAGTATGCAAAGAACATTGTTTAGCAATTGCAAATGAAAAAATGAACTTGTAGATCTGTAACTGCAACTAATGTCAGTACAATAAACTTAAAAAGAAAATTCTCTAAGGTGTGGAGGACTGTGTGATCCTGGCAACTTGTCAGTGCTCGTGCCCGTGCTACAGACCCTGTGGCCTGGTCAAATAGCTGCTCTTCTATCAGCTTGACAATTCTCTAACCTTCCAGTCAGCAGCCCGACACAGCCTTCGGTATGGCCTGAATGGATCTGAACAACCCTCTGCACTCACATTAGCATTAGCAACTACTAAGCTGCTGCCTGTCTGCCTGGTGCTCCTCAGAGTCTCTTGACCTAGATCAGCCATCCGCTAGCTCTGGTGTTAACAGGCGCAGAGATCCAGACTATCAGCTGGACTGTGGCATGGCCTCTGTGCTCCTGCAAAGAGAGTTCTGTGGGAGGCATCAGAAGCCCACTGAGGAGCTACAGGTCTCAGCCATCCTTAGGCCCGTCTTAGCCTGTTAACAGCCAGATTATGATTCCCTGCTGAAGGCTGTTAATGTCCAATACGGCTGCCTATCACTTCAAAGAAGAAAGTGACGTTTGAACTCACCTGAGTTAGAGACAGAAGGGGCAAGCTAGGCCACTGCTTCACTCACTAAGAGCACTAAGGAGACAGAAGAAATAATAAATAGGCAGGAAATAGAAGTCACATGTGAATAATTTAGGGAGGAATAAATGACAAGCAAGAAACAGCACAACATGGAGGAAAGGACAGAGGGAGATGAGGCAACTGAACCAAGTGAGGAGGAAGAGGAAAGAGATTAACAGAGAAAAAAAATTGTTCTTCAAGGTGAAGCACATGCAGGGTGCAAGTCAGGAAGAAGAAGTGGACCAGACAGAACAAAGAAGAGATACTGAAAAAACAAAGAAGAGAACAAAGAAGACAAGGAAATGATGAGAATGATGACTGTATCACTTGGAGGTGTGAGAAAGCATATTCGGTGAAGCGAACAATGTGTGGATACTAGAAACTAAAAGAGAAGCTACAACTGTGGCTGCATGCAGGGGTCAACTCTGACAAATTTCACTGCAATATTAAAAAGCTGAGCAAAAGCTTCTCAGCTACACATTTATCGTACTGCATACACACATCACCTCAGTCCTCTGTGCCTCTGTAAGTACAAATACAGGAAACAAGGATCAAAAGGTGAACGATCAGCCAGTGAAACTCCCACAGAAACACCTGTAGAAAACACTGGGCATCTGTCAGGGATGGAGCATCATGCTTGCCAGTATAATGGACCAGTGTCAGACGCTGACATAAAGAAAGCCACTAAAGGCCCTCAGATCTTCCTCAGTGAGTTTATCAGCACATCAGGTGAGGAACAGGATGTCTAAGACAGCCATGTATTTTATCCAGGCATTCCAAAATAGCCAACATGAGAGACAACAGTCTGCCTGCCAGAATGCATTAGCCTGAACAATAAGAGACTAAACAGTTTATGGAAACAAAAACATCAATGCAATTTATACAGAACTGGAGAGTATCATGGAGCAAGATATTTACCATTACTGAAGAAATCCTCAGTTGATAATTGATGCAGGATAAGGTCAAGATTATTCTATTTTATTACCTTTTTTGTTTTTATGTTTATTCCACTCCAACTCCAGTCACAAATACGTACCCTAGTACAAGTGACTTAAACCCGTTTTAGCTTCAAAACAAAATGCATTCAAGCCGTGACACACACCACTGTAAAGAGGCAGAATAAGGAATATGAATGGTGGGGAACACAAACACCACAGCACTGATCAACACTGTCAAAAACTATCTTACAACTAACAGTCAGTATTTCTACAAGTGCTACGCTAAGCTGATCCCCCATAATATTTAATACTATATGTGCTGCTGCCTTTTAGTTTTTGGTAAGCAGTCTCCCTCCTTCTGTCATTTTTGGACAGGTAATAACATCTGTTTGCCAAAATAATTCAAATGAAGTGTAGCCTCCACTTTTCAGAACATACACAGAACCTTTCAGATCTGTATGATCACACATCCTGTCCGTTTATTCTCAATAAAATGAGACTGTTGTACTAACCTGCAAACTGAGTGTGCTGCTTATGTTCGCCATGGGCAGCGAGATAGCCACACTGGTAACCCTGGTGCTCTCCAACCACTTAGACAGCAGCTCCAGGGTCAGCAGCTTGTCCAGCCGAGCCAGATTCCCCACGTGGAAGGGCAGCAGGAGCACCAGGCTGGCCTTGTCTCCCCACAAAGGTGCCTCCAGAACCTGCACCATGTTTTCCATATCTTCGTGGTGACGGTACAAACCTGGAGGCAGGAGGAGGCAGGCACAGAGTTCAGGTGAGATCAGAGGATCAAGGAGACACTGAAAGCCTTTGCCAGAATGTAACAATTTTTCTACAGAGCAGCAGTTCTTTTGGAAGATTGTTCAGACTTTTCAGCTCTGTCACTGCACCCGACTAAATTACCTGAACTGAGGGAGAAAACACTACAGAGCTGGATCAAATCCAGTCAGATGTAATGTGAATACAGCCTTAGACAGGAAAGATCATTTTTCCATAAACGGAAAATGGCATATGACATTAAATAGCATCTCCAACATTTTTTTTACTGCTGTCACAGCAAAATTCATTTGCCTTATTGTTGTTTTAAGATAACACATTACATACAATATGACAGTCATATTAAATAAATCATAAGGTACTATACACAGTGATAAATGGCAGAGAAGCAGATTGGACTTTGCAGATGTTCAAGCCATTTTAGAGCTCACTTATTTGCTGGCAGGAGTACAGCAGCAACAGACTGTGTTTTACCTGCTCTGTGCATCATCACCACTTTAGTGTACGTCTTCCCCAGGAAGGTACGGCAATCTGTGAACTCCTCACTAAACTCTCTCCCCCACAGACCTGAACACACAGCCAAACAAACACAGAGGACAGAGCCATTTTGAATAGTGCATGATACTGATAGGTTGTAAGAAAATACTGAATGACTGAAAGAGGGGAAAAGGTGGCCACTCCGATAAACAGCAAAACACATATAGACATCATACACAGTGACACTGGCTGACACACCTCATGAATCATCGATATGTATTGCCCTATTAAAAAAAGAGGTCCTGCCCTTCTCAAAGCTATGGAGTTGGAGTACCATATCAGAGGCAGTTATGAGGTCCTTAATCCCCATTCCGTGTTCACCACATCCCACTTGGCCCTGCTAACCCCATGACAGCTGTCAATTTAGGAGGGACTGAGTGTAGTGGAATTACTGTTGTAATAACCTCAGAACACATTCCCAAAGCTGCTGGCCCGTTCAATGAGGAGGGGGGGGGGGAGGACATAGAGGGAGTCAGGAGGTTGACAGATTATTAGCTGTACTTATGTCACTCTTTTACGGATTATACCTGGGGCTGGCTACAGCTATAACAAATTAGGATTTTTATTATTGATTAATCATTCGGAAAGTTCAGCGCACACATGGCACAATGCTATGTTGGAAGGAGGACAAAAATATAAAATGCCACATTTGCTCTGATGAACATTTAGGGGCCAATTGGTTGGCTTCATCTTAAAGAGCCGATGGGATGCTTTTCCTTGTTTTCTGACTTATCTACAATGTAACAACAATGAATTATCATCTTAGATGTGACATAAAGCTCAACAAATCAGGTGCACTTATGTTCTAGTACTTCTATACAGAAGCAATTCAGTTTCTACAAGTCTCGAAAACTCACTCACAAGATCATTTTTCTAACAAAATAAAGTATTAAGTGGCACAGCAGAGCTTTCAGCTAAATACTAACATCATGACAAAGACGATACCAACAACCTGTATATAATGAATAATATTTACAATATTCAGAACCTTATTTTAGTGCGCCGGCATGTCTGCCGATATTTTCCAATTAGCATGACAAAAAAGTACAATTAAGGCTGATTAGAATGTCATTAGGTTTGCAGGTATTTTGTAAAAAACCAAAGAACTAGACAAATTGAACTTTTGACCCAGTGATGGCAGTAGATGAAAGGCTAAGGGTTACAATTTGCAAATTATCCTGAAGGGGACATCAATATGAGTACCACGTTTTATGTTAATCCATTAAATAATTGACAAAATATGGCACTGAAAACCATAACCTTTGGGTGGTGGCATCACAAAAGTCAAGGAATCACCAGTTTTTAAGATATTGTACATTGTCTGGAATTCACAAGTGTCTGTACAAAATATTGTGCCAACACATCTGGTGGATGTTGAGCTATTTCACTCGACAAAGGAAAACTTTGACCTGCTGGCAGTGAAGGAAAGGTCAGGAGATCAGCAAAGTCACTAAGGGTCATCCTCTGGGCACCATGGACACTTGTCCCATATTTCATATCACTTAAAAACTAAAATGTTAACCTCACAGCGGCACTAGATAAAAAGTCAGGGGATCCTCTATATGACAAGTAAACTTAAGTCAGTTTGTAAAATTGGTGCCTCTGATTCAACTTTGATCATTTTTCTGTTGATCAATTAACCAACTAGGGCTTTCAGCACAAGGGGTAGCTTTCCCAAAAGCCACCCAGTGTCAATTGGACGTCAGCCAATCACAAGTTACAGCAAAATGAAGTGATTCTCTGTTTCAGGCATGCTGGCACAAGTCAAAGCCACTCACACTGCTGCCTCAAACATCAGAGAGAGAAACATGATCCCGCTGGGGTTAAAAAAACAACTGGCTGCAAGCTAGCTGAAGTGGCAGGCATGTTGTTTAAATAATGTCATAACGATGAACAATTTCTCCACAGTCTGTACATATGTGTAAATAATATGAAGTCATATCAACCAGGGATTAAACTAATGACCTCATCGGTCTGCACAGCATACTGTTGATCTCTCTGTGTGGCTCTGTGGGCTTAGAGGAGCAGGCCTGCTTCAGGTTTGCACTGCATTCTTTTCTTTTATAATAGAGCACTGCAGCAGAGAGATCACCTGAAATCTGAATCCATTACCATCTATTGATGATAAACACAGAGACAACTGCACAGCTAAGAAATCCAATCACTCACAGACCTATCAATTCACACTGTAAACTTCAGACAAAAACCAGAGGAGAATCAATGAGACCGACCGGCTCCCTCTCCTCCCCTTCTACTTTTGATTACAAGTAGTTATGGTATTTCAGAAGCTATTATTAGAAGTTAAAAATGTGGAGACTTGTTGTTTACTCTCACCCTTTTTTTCCCCTCTCCTAGTTCTTCATGCTGTTGCATTATGTTGTGTACTCTGTTGGGGAAAAAAAGCAGTAATCTTATTTTCTTCTTCCTGTGTTTGTTTGTCTAAACCAAAGTCTGAATTAATTAACCAGTGTAGACTGGAACTCCCAAGGTAGGCTTTTTACATCGCTCCACTATGTCTGTCAGTCTGCTTTCCTCTCTCAGCAGGCCACCCTCTCTCGCTTTATTTTTCTCAGTTTCCCATCTTTTACTCTGTGTCTCCTTGTCCACTTCCCACTGAGAAATCCCTCTACACACTGATCCTTCTCTGCAGTCCATGTCTGTACTTTATACATGTTCCACTACTAATTATCCCTGACCTTTCCTTTCTGTGAATGCTGTGTTCAGCCCAGGGAAGGAGGGACAGCCGAGTTGTTTTAATTCTCTCCTTCAATGATTAACTTAAAGGGAATCAAAGTGAAAAAGAAACAAATATCCCCTTTATCCAGCACCAGCTCTGAAGCCGTTATGTTATCACACACACTACAAACTGCCTTGAGACCCTGAAATCAAAAACAAATTACAATTGACAAACCAGTGGCGGATAGTGAAAGAAAGAAGCAAAGTATTGACCACTTTTAAATTATGAATCAAAACTAACGAAATCCAATTTTCTGTAATCTAATTAGTGTGCTGCAATCTGCCGTATAATCTAATTTGTATATTTCCTCCACAAAATGAATGAATTGACCATTGAAGGTCATTTCACAGAAAAACTAATTTTATAATGAAGCCAAACAATCAAAGAAACGTAATTAAATTGCTTATCAATATATAAACTGTCAAGGAATGCTATTTTCGGACACTTGTCTATCTGCCAGCGACCTGTTTTCACTTCAGCAGCCTTGCCTTCTTTGCACTTAATAAAAAGAATACCTGTACGAGGAAACGGGAGAAATGGAGGAAGATGGACACAGATAAGGACGTGAACAGGAGACATGAGGAAAGGAGAAAGAGGAGATGGGGGTGGATAAGACACGTAAAAAGAATGACAAAAGCACAAAAACAGAGAGGACAAAAGAAAAAGTGAAATAGAACATCATCATCTTCTGTGGAGACTGCGAACAAAATGAGATTCAACATCAGCAAGCAAATGTTGTTTGTGCTGTGAGAAAGAAAAAAATGGGAGATTATAATCCTGAAAAGTTACCATACAAATGGGAAATAAGATATTCGCTATTTCTGGGACTCGTGCTGAACTATTATCCACTTGTACAAACACTGGCAACCTTTAACAGCCTAATAAAAGTCAAATTAATCTAACTCTTTAACCTTTAACGACAGACTTCAGATAAAAATTAGACGGCTATGTTTTTGGCATGTGACTGTTAAATCACAGATGGGGCTTCTAACTGACTGGATTTGTATCGAAACATTGACTAGTTTCCACCCCTGCAGCCTGTCACAAAGAACAGATCTGAGCCAAGCTGTGCTGCCGCAGACTTGGAGCGCTCCAAGCACAGATGTTGGGCATGACACAGAGGGAGAGAGTGTGGACACTTGTTACTCAATTATTTAAGATGACACATCACCCACCAATGGAAGATGAATAAGCTCTCGGTGATAGACCCCAGAATCATCCTTTATCTGCTGTGTCCACCAGCTGGAGTCCGCCGCACGCGCGCACACACAGGCACACATACAGACAAGTGCACTGCATGCAGGTGGGCATGCTGGCTGCCTGGCACACACAGTGTAGTCAGCAGTGCTGTCTGAACACTGAAAACAGTACTAGTTTTAGAATATTAATATTCTAAGACTTCTCATCCAATGCAGTAAACAACTCCTGTACAGAGACATGGCATAACTCCAAAGCACACCAGACTTCTTCAGCATCTCTCAGTGCAGCCAAGCCACTATGTTATGTGTCTATATTAAACCAGTTATGCCACTGGATTCTCACCATAACAAAATAACCCATTGGCTATAGGGTGGCTTCATTTAGAGTCACTGCCATTTAAGACACACTAATAAATGATATGTTTGCATACTACTTTATGACATCCCATATCAAAAATGACATTTTCCAAGATTTTGTGACCACAGACCAAAGTTACGATTAATGATAGACTGATTAATCAGCTGGTTTATTAACCAGGCCTATGTTTGGCATTTTTAAATAATCTGTATTGACCGATGTCTGCACTTGTGAGGCTGATTAACAAAAAATGTCTGCAGATGCATCTGCAGAAAGCAAATGCATCTGCTAAACCATTTTTTAAAAACAGTTTAGATTTTTGATTACTTGATTCCATTTTTTAAATGTTTAAATATTAATTAGGAGTACACAATGTAGCAAGCAGAGACAGTGCTCATCTTTTAATTTTCAAATACTTGAAATAATTCATTTATTTTCAGAATTCATTCATGTTAAATGATCCTTTAAGTTGAGGTAATTTGTGTCTCTATTATTAAATTGTTGTATTTTATTTGATGGAAAAAAAAACATCATTATATATCAGCCACTGGGCTCCACACTCTTTAAAGATCCACAATGGCAATTGAAAAACCCATACTGGTTGATCACTAGGAGCATGATGAAATAAGTCTAGACAACCCCACTTGTAAACGACTAGTCTATCACCTGTGCACTGTGTCTACTAACCTTTTAATCGCAGAGCACTGGCCAGTATCAGTGCTCCAGCCTTAGTCTGGATTTCTGTTCCCAGAGGAGCTCCTTCCCATCCACCAAGGCCAGCTTTAGCCCAGCCATGGAGCTGTTTCAGGTCGGCCTTAGAGTCTCCTTTCTCCAGTGGCTTGTGCTGCAGCCTGAAGTTGGCCTGGCTGTCCTTCACAAAGGCCTGGCTCACTGGAGGAGCTTGCTTTGAAAACAAAGCTGAGGATGTGTGCAGGTGAAAGCTGGTCCCGTTAGCTTCAGTAAAGCTTTTCAACGCCTTGGCCAGATGCTCCCTGACCTGAGATCCAGCCTTGGAGGAGGACGAGGTCTTGAGGAGGTCTTGAACCTGGCTGGCAGTGGTGCCTGCAGAACCCCCACCAAGAGCTCCAAGTGAGGAGGCCACAAGTAGAGGGGAGAACAGGGTGTTTACTGAGCCCGACTCAGAACGGAGGACTTGGTGCAGACGGAGACCCAGATTCCAGGTAAGGTCATCCAGAAGAGGAGGAGGAGGGCGAGGTGGAGGGCTGGCTGGGGCAGCAGGGCTCTTCTTGGATGTACTGATCTTGCTGCCCTGCACCAGCAGAGCTGGCAAAAAAATGAGGAGATAGACAGGGAGTGTGGGCAGCATGGCAGGTCTGGAGGAAAGCACAGGAGGGGAGTGAGATTTGGTTGCACAAAAAAACAAACAAAAAAAAAAAAACAGTGTGTATGACAATAAGTGGAAGGAAGACATTGCATTCCTCTCATTTCTAACACAAAGAGCATACTGCTGTGCAGATATTCGGAGTGATTTTTAACTGTGCAGCTGTTATTACACTGTTCTTATTTTGAGATAAAACAATATGGTCCCCTCTGGGCTGTAAAACTCCCACTTGTACAGACAGCAGCCCCTTCTCCCACAGAGCCCCAGCAGTAAACTTGATTTTGTAAATTCCTCTCCACTTGGCAACATGGTTATTATCTCACCCGCAACACAAAATCCGGAGTGTGACAATTAACTTTGATTAAGTTTCAAAGGAAGCTTTTTTTAGTCTAGGGCTGAACAAGAGGATGAAAAGGAAAGAATAAAATACACGTTTTCCTACCCTGCCTCACAAACAACCCGGCTTATTGATTTTACTGAGCCGGTGACAGGAGTGACTGGAAACATCTGCTGTCTAGCTCTGCCTACGCGCTCTGGATTTTTTTTTAAGACCGCTCGGCGAACAAGAAAGAAGGAAAAGTCGTTTGTTCAACTTTACCCGTTGATTAAATCGAGTTTATTCCTCTGCTCCGCCGCTGTCCTTGTACCTATGCGCTCCGGAGGAAGTGGCGTTGGGACTGCGCTCGGACGTGGCACTGCGCGGAGGAAGTTCTCCCCTCAACTTCATCCACAAACTTTGGTTCTCCCGAAACTTCCAAACTTCCCAGAGAAGCAGCCGCGACGCTGCTTGTGAGAAACGGCGACAAAGTGATAGATAATCTGATTCACCCAATAAATAAACCCTAAATACTCATATAACCCCTAGTTTAATGCAGGTTAATTACTAAAACTATTTAAAAATATATCATACGAACCATCCCGTTTTCACAGTAATCGCCCCATGATTAACTAAAGCATTACAGTCCCGCTATAGAGCAGATATCACTGCTATGTCTGCAGCTATAAAGTATATAAAAGCTATCAAATAGGCCACATGTATATTTACATGTAGGCTATTTATATATGTAAAATCCACTGGAGAAACCCCGCTTTAAAACTGCTGTATTATCCGTGTCCCACTGCTTTGGACAGACATAATACATGTATGCTTTACAAAACCATAATTAAATATTACAAGGTCCCTGCAGGGCTATAGCCTATATCATGTTTATGTAATGTTGGCCACGGTATAAAGTAACAAAAATCAGCCAGTTGCAGTAAATGAAGCGTTCCTCCATACATTAAAAGAAGGCTTTGTGGGTTAGTGTGGACAATAGAGTCTTGTTCTTGGCTCTCTGGGGGTTGTAGTTCTCAAAACCACTCAAGCGGGGTCGCTAATGGTCTTCTCATGGCCTCAGCTCAGTGACCCTGTGAGAGGCTGCTGCCTGTGGGCCAGGGCCTCCCAGACACCCAGCCCTCCCAGTGGACAGGATATAACCAGTAGGCTAATAGCTCTGTTTTTTTTTTTAAGTGTTAAATCTGTCTGCATAATTGTTAATTATGGAAGATGCAGTAACATTTATGTAAAAAAGGTCCCTGATTTAGATTCGTTATATTTTTAGTTCTAGTTAATGAAATGAAATTTGCAGAGGATCATCACACGTTCACCCACACCACCCTAATACCCACCGTTCCTCACTCTGCAGCAGCTGTACTGACACAGCCTACTGTCATGGAAAAGTAGGGCAGAGCATGCAAGCCTCTATTACATCTGACCCTTCCAAATGTCCTCATTCTGTATTCTCCTCATTTCCCTGTTTCTCGTCTCTCTAAATTCTACTGGCCTTTTTCCCTATAGCAGAACAAGGAGTTGAGAGCAGACAACTTGTAACATGACTTCGAGAAGGGGATTATTGCCCAAATTGAAGGATGGAGAATGGTCATATAGGGTCCTGATCAATAAATGTAGAGATAGACTAAGAAGGCTAGAGAAGGATCAGAAAGGGATATGGAGGAAGATAACTGCTCAAGACCACCAATGCTCAGCAGCCAGGCTGAACATAACAGCTTGTAGACCCAACCAATTATTTACCCCAGCCAAATCAATAGAGCTCTCTCCGAAAGATAGCCATCAGCAGCACTATCTGGAACACATTCACAGCAGAAAGAACAAACACACACTGAGCACTCTGCCGGCTGCCACTCTCGCTCTCTGTCTCTTTTGCAAACACATTTCCCTCGCAGACCGTTATCAGACATCCTTAAAAGTAAGACACACAACACGTAATTATTGGACATCCGCACTGAAAAGAGAAACATAAAAACAGCATATGTCAAACTACACCCAGAGCGAACATGAGACACATAAGGCATACACACATCTGTGACTGAGGCTGAAGCCACTCTGACAAAGGATGCATGTCAGTGGTGGTAGGTACATGCGTGCAACCTCAGAGGCCGTAACCCTCACCAGAGTAGAACCACCCCCCCCCCAAACACCACATCACAGTCAGTCTCATCAGCAGCAACACATATTGTGCAGAGGATTCGCACCACAGTTTAAATGAGTCCCCCGGTGTTGTGACTGGGAAACTAAGATGTTTGTCAGTCAGCAAATTGTGCATTTAGGGATTTATAGAGGGATGCCCTTTAGCCACAATGCATGCTTGCCCTCACCTCTCTCGACCAAGTTTCAAGGCCTGATTCAGTTTTACAGCTGCAGATTTCATTGTCTTAGGCAGTAAATGCTGTATTTCACTCCACGCGACCTGTTTACATTGCCATTGTTCTTGGCTGTTTCGAAGTTAAACGCCAGTGGCTCAAGGGCCCAGCAACAGAATCAGCATTTCACATTGAAAGCTGTTCCGCTCACTGCCAGCTGGCCTACAGCTCCATCCACTCGCCCCATCCCTATTCTTGCTCTCCTTTTCTCTTCAACATGCATTCACTGTTTCACACATATTGTAGCGTTTATTTTACACTACTCTTCTCTTCCCCTCTGCTCTTTCCAGAATGAAATATTTCCCTTCATACTACATTAGCTCAGCTTCTATAGACTCCTTTACACTCCATAACTTCCTCTCCTTTTTCATCAATCCCTCCAAGAGGTTATAGCTCCCTCTATACTCCTCCTACCTCTGGGGCCTCCCCACATACATATATTTATTTCCTCCTCTTTTCTTTCCACCCTTCCATCCATTATTCTTTCCTGGAAAGACATTTCTAAGACAGGACATAAAACAGACATAAGCCCTTTACCATAAAACAAACCTGAAAAAAACAACTACTTTTATTATGAATATGTTTAAATGTTCACCCACCTCCACCTTTACACCAACAATGTCCACCTCTTTTTCCTTTCCACTTCTCACCTCCTCTCGTTCCTTCATCCCTACTCCTACTCATTTCCCATATCTCTTCTGCTTTTTTCTCCTTTTCCATCTAAATCTCTCCCCATCCCTCTATGTCTCACAAATTTTGGAGTCTGGACAAAACAAACAGTGTGTAACATGTGAGCCCCTGTTCTCGTCAGTTCTGGCCTGCCTGTCTGTCAACAGCTCTGGCCCCTTTCAACTAGTAGTGAGCTGGTTTAGACCCCGTCTGGACAATTCCACAAGGTCCTGTTGGTTTCTATCAAGTTTCATTGTAGTCCTTTCAAATTAAAGCTCTTACTTAGCGTCTGGCAAAGCTGCTAAACTGCAGCCATGAAGCATTCCCTTAACCCCAACTTCATTCTGGCTGGAGGTCTTGTACCAAACCTTGACCATAAGTAAAAGGTAAACATATTTACATATAGCAGGATTATTTAAAGGTAACAAAGACCTTGACCTTTGCTGTTTTTATTACCAGTAGCTTCTATTCATGGGGATTCAGTAACACAGTTCTATTCAAAATGTACAAAAATCACCCAAATGAAGGAAGAGAGACAAAAAAGACAAACAAAAAAGGACAGTACAAATATAAAGCAATAATTTAACAGAGCAAACAGAAAACAACAACAACAAAAATGTTTAGGTCTGCTTTACTGAAGATCTAAAAATACACATATTAGTTAGGACCATGGGAGAGGAGTGCATCCCCCTGACTGGGATGTTTTTTCCCCACTTTGCATCTAAGGTAAAACATTATAAAGCAAAAGGAGGTACAGATGGACTGATGAAAATAAAGGGAATATATACATTTAATCGATGAGGGAACAGGGAGGGGCCAGTGGGCAAAATGTGAGGAGGGGCAGTGGTGCTCCGGGTCAGGGTGAACATGCTGAACAGTGCCAAAATCACAGACACATCTGCTGTTCATCTTGAATGTCTCCTAGAAGCTTTAAATGTTTCCTGCAGCCATGTGAAAGTGAACTGTCAAGACAGAAGGGGGTTGGTGTCTGATTTTCTTTGTGTGTGTGGAAGAAATAGATGGTCTCACCTTGTTTTGTTTTCATTAGAGGTGTCTATAAATTACCCAAACTCCAGTGAAATGCACAGAAGTACAAAAGCAAGGGCTCACATCTCATCTACACAGCAGGAAAGGCAAATAAGTGACTTTTAATGTGCTCAGTGAGTCACACGGAAAAGCAAATGCCAAGCACCCACAACTATACACATCTGCTTCAGGCAAGTGTCGACAACTATCTTTATAGGAATTACAAATTACTCTTAACCCCGCCCCGAGTAACTGCCACACACCTGCGATACAGATCACTCAGACTCCGTGGTATAACATCAGCACGTCCGCTTTTTGACATTACACCGAACACACACACACGCACACACACACACACACACACACAAAATCACAACTTGCAACCGCATGCACACAAAGGAATCAGAAATGGAAATACACCTTCAACAGACATATGTTGACCACCCCCCCCGGCTGCAAGTTTGCCAGCAGCCAGCTGGTACTGTCATGTCTGATAGGCTGGAACAGAGACAGAGATGGAGACGAGGCCGGGAAAGGGAAGAAGGAA